GCCATCAAGGCTATTTGAAATAAATTTCACCAGCATTTTTTTGCTCCTTGATATAACAGGACTTGGTAGATTGCTTCCGCATAGCTCAGCAAGGGTTTTTTTTGTCTCTCCATCATAAACCTCAACAGCATCACAAGTACACTTCCCTTCCAATGTTTTTTTACAGCCAGTTTCCTGTAAGGTGAAGACTGTGAAGTTCAGCTTGACACGTGGGCTTTTTTTGACACTAATCATCCAGTAACAGATTCTTAGATCTGGGTATTTGTTTGGATAGTTTTTTTTACTGATGGATCCTTTATTTCCAGTATAAACAACTGGATCACTTGGACAATCTATTTTTTTAAGCAAACTATTAATGCTAGAATTGTGAAAAGACAGAATGGTGAATAGCATGATTTTTTTACACCAAAAGACCATATGAAAGGGGCATGGCTATCATAACCCCATATACTATATTTTTTTCAATATAGTAATACTACCTGTTGGAAGAACATATTATAATGAGATCTGGAAGTTTTTTTTCTCATACATTTAATTTAAGAACCAGAGATTACAGGTGTTTGAAATTGGAAACGTTTTTTTGAAAATCAGTATYGAGGCCTTACCAACCATGTTTTCRTATTTTTTGGCACATGTTTTTTTCTCTTACATGTAGCTCTGCCGATATTCTCCATGTGCCCATGTAATATATTGATTTTTTTTGGTATATGTATGTATAACATAATCATTTCATACCTGGTGGGTTGTGATCAATCTGTTCATAAGTCGCAAAAAATCCTTTGTAAYYATTACCAGGTGAATCGTCACTTTCAAAGCTCAACCAAATGTTATTGAAGACAGAATAGATTGGTTTAGAATAATCATATTCATTTTCATTTTTTTTAGTTATTTTATTCTGGCAAATTGTGCTTCTTCGTTGTGTTGATGTCTTGCCATTTTTTTATTCCATTTTATCACAAGTGCAAGTGTATCCACAGTCTTCAATATTCATGTCCTTGAAATGGAGCTTGATATGGTTTCCTGCTGGGGCCTGRATTGTCCATGAACATGAGAGGTTTGCAGGGTAGTTAGCAGGATATAGCGGTGTTGATATGTTGCCTGATGCTGCAGTCAACACCTTATTGGATGGACAATCTAGGAAATAAAAACATGATTAATTCCATAGCTGTGCAAAATTTTTTTGGTACACATCAAGTCATAGATATTTAATTACTCTTGTTGCTATTGATTAGTTTTTTTTTTTCCCTCTTCCTCAGATTATTATCTTCTTTTCCACTCTTGTTGATATACTTGGGTTTTTTTCCTTTTTTTGGATGACTAAGAGTGACTGTGTCACCATTGCCTAATTTCATACCTTTTTTTGCAAGTCCCTTAATTGGCATGAATGGATTAATACGACCCATATAGAATGAAAGTTTTTTTTGACAAATACTAACTGAAGTTGGCATTGATCAGGTAAATATTAAATGATTTACTTTTTTTCAAAAAAGCAAGAATTTCCAAAGAAATGTAATATAGAATACCGGACGCTACGTTTTTTTTACAACAACTCTAAACAATCACAAGTTACAAATCATAAGGTCTATAAGAATACATTTTTTTCCGCCAATGGCGACACAATCACAAGTTACAAATCATAAGGTCTATAAGAATACTTTTTTTGAGGAGAAAACATGAGTATGAACCAAATATATTTCACCATCATGAAAATTTTATTTTTTTATGAATAGGGCAATGCTAGGATGACGTTTCATAGTGTAAGGAAGATATTCATATTTTTTTTGCCTCTTGATTATCAAACATACCTTGAGAAACAGCAATTCCAATCAAAAGAATTTTTTTACATAAGATTTTGTGTCAATCAACATGACAGGACTTTCATATAAGTTAGTACATTTTTTTCTAATATAAGTGCTGTCAGTTGTCACCTTTAGTGATAAATAATATATGTAAGTTTTTTTTATCTGCATTTAATGTGGGCTATAGCTGTTGCTTGTAGATTAAGTTTATAGTCATTTTTTTATGAAGGTAAATGCAAAATATTTACTTGAGGACAGTGCTATCATAAACCTAAGTTTTTTTAAAAATATAGTTGATACATGCATATGATACATGTTGGTACAAGTTAGCCAGATTTTTTTTAACAAAACAAGTTACTTGGATCAACCTGGTCAATAAGCTTATGGACTTAACTTTTTTTTTTGCATTGTAAATGTTGTAGTTCAGGTTCAAGATATGATTTTGAACCAGTTCAATTTTTTTTGAACTGGTTCAGTTTATTTTGAGCCAGTCCAATATAACTCAATCCAGTACAAATTAGTTAAGGGTTTGGTTTAGGGTTAGATCTTAACTGGTTCAAAAATATGCTGAACCTGTTTTTTTACATATTAAGAATTTGTAAATTTCAACAATCTCTCCGTATCGTTGATGAACTCTTTTTTTAATAGCCATTGAAACTCAAACTGTGAATTTCTGCACTAAAGCAATAATTATCTTTTTTTTGCTGGTTAAAAATCCTAAACCTACAGACTCGGCAAGTTTAAAATAAGTTAAGCTTTTTTTGTCAATGAGAACAATAAGCTGGAGAAACACCCTCAAAATACGAAATACCTACCGAGTATAAACCTTTGGACGACCATATCAGCAACGTTGAGTCGTATTCTTTACAAATATACAAAATATTCTTGGGTAAAACCGCACAAAACAGGTGTATTGTAGATCGATCACGCAGCAGTTTTTTTTTTCAGGCTGAGCAAACACTGAAGCACACCCCGGTATGATTGACACACGTGACGTTTTTTTCAATTGGTCTTCCTGTGTTACAAAAATGTCTTCCTGTCGACGTGTTCTCGTTATTTTTTTATCAGGTCTTCTTGGAAGGGCCTTAATGAAAGTGTTCTCTAATGTCCCAGGCTGGGAGGTCCTTGGTCTTGCACACAGCCGTGTTTCAGGAACCCTAAAAAAGGTTGACTTGCTAAATTTTGAAGAAACTAAGAAGATAGTCGAGGAGTTTAAACCTCAYGTTTTGATTCACTTTTTTTTTGAACGYAGGCCAGACGTMGTCTCCAACAATCCCGATGGTGCCGAAAAACTCAACGTTGGAACAACTGAGTTCTTAGCTAATCTTGTTGAGAGTTTTAACAAAGGTCTTGAAATTTTTTTCCATTCTATGTTGTACATTAGCACCGATTACGTCTTTGACGGGACAAAGCCACCTTACGAACCTGACGACCCTCCCCACCCCCTGAATAAATATGGAGAAAGTAAGTTAGCTGTTTTTTTAGCTGTCATGCGTTGTCAAAAAAGCTGTTTGATACTACGTGTTCCAGTCTTATATGGAGAAGTGGAATATCTTGGTGAAAGTGCTGTTTCAGGTGAATATATGGGAAATGTGATTTTTTTATAATAGACCATGTATTAATAGACTCATGGGCTATTAGCTCGTAGTCCACTCGTTTTTTTAGGTCTAATTGTTAAGTAGTGTAGTCGAAGATACATTGCAATAAAAGTCAATTTTTTTTTGGTCAAATTGTGCATAATTGCATATTAACCTTCCTGCTCTAGGCAATACCAATTTTTTTTTAACAAAAATGACCAGTTCCGTCTGCTATACTTAGTTTTTAGCTATATATTGCTTTTTTTAGCACCCCCCTCTAAATAATGCTGGATCTGTCCCTGATTAATTGAAGTCTCAGTTTTTTTTCCACCTTTCTGTCAGTTACAAGGCCATGGCTTAAACTTAATCAGCTAGTTGTTTTTTTTCATATTTTTTTAGAAAATTTTGATTTGACATTTGCTAAAATTTTTGAAATGCATTTTTTTTGAAACTTTGTCACCTTGCTTTATCAACCTTCTGGATATCTTTTTGTTGTATCTGATTATCAACCATGATTGATGATAAACTGCAATTGCATGATACATTACATGGTTAATTCTTTTTTTTGCCTGATCAGAATGGGTTAGGAATGAAGGTAAGCCAGTTCTTCTCAGTTAGCTTTTTTTGTACAGGAAGACCAAAATGACAAAGTCTGTTTCCACTGGATTAGCCTGTGGAATTTTTTTACAGGTGTATGAATTTTATTCTTTAACTTTTTTTAGTTTTGCTGACTGCTATACAAGATACAAAGAAAAAAACAACTGTTGATGACTACCAACTGAGATTCCCAACTCTTGTTGACGATGTTGCAAATGTAGTACTTTTTATGGCAAAGAGAAAGAGTGAACTGGAGACTTTCTCTGGCATCTTTCATTGGAGCAATGATGAACAGATGACCAAGTATATGATGGCAAGTAAATTTTTTTAGATATTTGGACTRGGAATTGAGCATCTGGTACCTGACAAGACCTCCTCGACTACTACAACAAGGCCGTATAATTCCCAGTTACATTGTGGAAAACTTGAAGATTTGATGGCTTTTTTTTTGTCACAGTACAGAACAAGTTTTGCTATTGGAGTAACAAAGTATTTGAAAAAGTTTTTTTAGAACTTAAAATTAGCAACAGGCAGTGAAACACTGTTCGTTATACTGCACTTGTTTTTTTGGAAACCAATCAAAATAAGGCCTGCTACTAAGTAGTTAGTCTGCTGTTCTTGAAACATTTTTTTATTGATTTTTACATTTCTATCAAATACATATACATCACTTGAGTCCAAGTTTTTTTAATGTGTCTTACCTATAGAAAACTATATCTAGATATCTTTAGAGTTCATCTAATTTTTTTGGTCAGATACCTAAAAAAAATACTTTCTAATGATGACGGTATGTCCAGATGAATTTTTTTACTTGAACCTGTGACTTCTGGAATACTCCATTTTCGAATTCAAAGTGAATAACTTTTTTTTATTTCACAGCAGATTCTCTTACACAAAGAACTTACCAAACACAAAAGAAAGCTTTTTTTAATGTTGTTAGTACAATAGCGCTAACAATTCACATTTTCCCAGAGTTAAGGCATTTTTTTTATTCCCAGAAGGCTCATTACCTTAGGTGACTTTTTGCAAGAGAATCTGTTGTTTTTTTTAGCGTTTTTTTGCTATGAATTCAAAACTGGAATATTCAAGATGGCATACACTATTTTTTTTAGTAACCAAGATTGCAACTAGGTCCAAGTCAGTTATGTAGGAGAAAGAAAACTTTTTTTAATAAAAGATTTTATGACTTAATGTTCAATATAGTGTGCTTTGAGGTCGACTGTTTTTTTTCCATTCTGGAAAATTTAGGATTATTTGTAGCAAAATAGTGAGATATATATATTTTTTTTTAGATGAAAAATACTGTCACCATATTMTAGAAATGTGAAAACAAAATATGTGTTTTTTTTATTTTGATTTTATAAATTAAAAGTATTAAACTATATGGAAAAACTCTTTCTTTTTTTTTTGTCAAGGTTTTTTTTCCCACAGGCAGCATATACTGAGAAATCCTAAAGAACATTTTTTTTTAATATTTGAATTTTTTTTAATATTTTCTATTACTTATTATTTTCTTTTCTAATTTTTTTAAAGGAAACTAGATACACTAAAATGTGCCCAATTCTATGATAATTAATTATTTTTTTTTTATTATTCACTAATTTTGAAACCTATTTGCAAATTCAGTGCAAAAGCAAAAGTAAATTGTCAGAAAATTTCAAGTTTACTAGAGTACATTCAATATAYCCATGAAGTGGTTTTGTTTTTTTAAATCCTTGTCTTCTAGTGTTTACAGTTGCAATCAATGCAATTTTTGTAAATTTTTTTTTTAAAAAATGCTTCATGGATATAATAAATGCACTCCTCTATAAAATATGTAAGTTTTTTTTTAATATAATTGTACAAAATAAAGGGAATTTGAAATTGAATATGAGTAAATAACTTTTTTTTAAATAATAGACTTTTTAAAAAGAATCAGTATCATCATCTCCAACTAATTTTGTTTTTTTTCTGTTTATTTCCACAAATGTTGGTCTTAGCTCACTTTCCTGAAACAGAATAATTTTTTTGTTACTCAATGGACAAAATTTCTGAAAACTTTATGTCATCTCAAGTGTTGCTGTTTTTTTAATCGTATAATCTGAAGTGTTCTTTTGGGACACGAGGGCCAGGAAACCCAACATTTTTTTAGGATGTGAAGGAAACTAAAGTGTTGTGGTTATCGTTCATTTTCTGTTTCTCCTTTTTTTCTATGGAACTCTTTACCTTCCTCATTACTGACATTACTGACATTGACTCTTTTTTTTTTTGCCTTAAAACTTATTTTTTTCAAACTTGCCTTTAATTTGTAAAGTCTGCAATTTTTTTTTTTTCATTTCTTAGCGCTTAGATCTGAGCTGTACAAGCGCTTTATAAATTAACATTTTTTTTATTTATCATTTATTAATACTAATATCTATTCACCTCAATCCAACATTTGCGCTTTTTTTCATAGGCAAGATCTGGACACTTGCTGGGTTTCTCTAAACGATAATTTTGCAAATTTTTTTACAGTATAAAATGATGTCAGATAATGGTCGCCCAAAAAAAGGAAAACCACAAATTTTTTTAGAATGCGAATATTTGAATAATCAAGATATTACATTTAAGTGGGGAGTAGCAATTTTTTTATCAAAACTCTTTCCAGTATTATTTTCTTAATGACGACCTTGAGATATGACATTTTTTTTTGTTGTACGACATCTGAGTTACTCATTGCAGGGTATGGTGTCTTGCCAGAAGATTTTTTTTCCCATGCTAAAATTCCTAAAAAAAATGACAATCAATATGTTATAATTTCACATTTTTTTACTTATTACTTCAAATATTACTATATAGAACCTTATTGCAAGTGACATCAAAGTTTTTTTATCTGCAGTGGGGAACAAAACAAGATTTTCGCTCTCTTGGGAATTGGCACCATTTTTTTTCAAACTGAATACTCCATCCTTCCTTGAACTCTTCCAATTTCATGTTTTAAATATTTTTTTTTTTCTTCATGTTGATCTACATATTTTTATACTTTTATTTAAATTACATTATGTTTTTTTGGATGTCAATTGGGGCTCCCATGTCAACTTGCTACATATATGCACCAAATATTTTTTTTTATTCTCTGTACCTATGTAGCTGTTAGTAAAGTAAGAATGTCAAGATTTTGATTTTTTTTCCAATCAAAAGAAGAAACTTCATAGCGTGTTGAAATGCACTTGAACCGTCATTTTTTTTGTTTGATTTAATTTGACAATCAAAGAGTAARTATCAATGGCAGATTTATCTGTTTTTTTTCATACAATTGTCAGGGTTGACATGCTTACCAAATGCCCAAACATCAGATTTACTGCTAAATTTACTGTATAATATAACTTCAGGTGCTGCCCATTTGATAGGAAATTTGGTTCTTTTTTTAGCTGTGTATTCATCATCTATAACATATCTGAAGATAACAAATATGACACATGTTTTTTTTAAATACTTTACAGTAAACCTACAGAATAGAAATGTTTGTTTTCGTTAAAGAATTTTTTTGTACCTCGATAAACCAAAGTCTGCTACTTTAACTGTCTTGTTTTCTCCTATTAGACAATTTCGAGCAGCCTGGAAGTGTAAGTGGTATAAGTCAATGCCAATAAATATATAAAAAAAAGAAAAAAATTTAATGTCATTATTACATTATATCATAATGAGGGAAATGTGCAACTTTTTTTTTTTGGAAACCAAGTGGTAATCTGCCATTAGTCCCTCACTTTCAGAAATATTTTTCTTTTTTTATATTTTTCCAGCGACAATAGAGTTTCGTATGAATTCAAAACAATAACATTGTTTTTTTTTAAATTAGTCTTCTTATATTTCATGCTATTCACATCACCCTGAAGATGGACAATTTTTTTAAGCTTGGGCAAAGTTTTCTAATAAACGTTTTGGCTGGAGTTACATAAATCTGTTTTTTTAACTCATAATAATTCACGTCTAGTAGCAGTAAAAGCACTTGATGTGCAGTCCATTTTTTTGGTCTCTGTGTATAAAGTTTTTCTTCTCCAGGTATTTCATGGCACAAGCCACTTGACTAACCATGTCAGTCATCTCTGGTGAGTTGAGCTTAAATTGATTTTTCCTCAAATAATTTTTTTGGCATCCTAACAAATCATTTATAAATATATCTAAGTATCCATTTACTTGATGTTTTTTTTTGATATATACATGGACCCCTTGCATGTGGAATAAGCCTTTTTCCAGTTCAATGTTTTTTTCCGCTGTTTTAGTAGAAAGAAAGCACGAAAAAATGTTGACATAGCTAGAAATTTTTTTTTTCTCCGATTTGAGGCTTAGCCTGATAAAGACGTTGCATGTACTTGAACCTTCTTTTTTTTCAGGCTTAGCACTTTTGTAATGGCAACATTTTTTCGTGTTTTCTTTTGTTTTTTTTTTTTTCTCTGCACATGAGAGACTGTTGTTAACTAAATCAGAGATTGTTCGCTTTGAATTTTTTTAAATGTATTAAAGCAGCTTCAGATTTGGAGGACAAAACATTAGGAGCTCTGCATTTTTTTTTTGCAATTTTGGATCCTGTTATTATATAAAAATATATTGAGTCTACCTTTAATTTTTTTCTCAGTAATAATGTAAATGGGACTTGTTGAACAAACTCCATAAAGTTGAACAATTTTTTTATGCTGGAATTGTCTGGTAAAACATAAGAATTATAAATGATCAAAATAACAAATTTTTTTAAACATTCTGAGTTGAAGCTAAAAGCCTTAACTCCAATAATTAAGATGAGTTGTTTTTTTGTATATTTGAACAACTTGTAACTCACTTCATAACTTTGGCTTCCTCGATAAAGTTTTTTTCTGACATGGCACCATCTTTCATCATTTTGACAGCAACAGGATAACTTTCCTTCTTTTTTTCTTCCCATACACACTGATTAAATAACAAAAAATAAATAAATCATCCATTTGCATTTTTTTGAGGTTACAAATTTGGGTTTCCTGTGCCCACAGGAATCCCAATGTCCATAGAATTTTTTTACACTTACAGACCTTGAAGATATTCAGACAAAAATCACAATTCATAATATGCTTTTTTTTTG